GTAGCGTCCTTCACGAGCCTCCTCCACAGAGGCCGATCTTGACACCGCTGGTACCAGTCATCGGCAAGTCCACTCAGCTGCACGTCCTCCTGTACCACATCACTCCGTCTCTTCTCTAGCCCGTGCCGCGCCCGTTTAGCCCCCTCGATCCGGCCGAACAAAAGCTGTTTTGGCATGCGGTGGCTGCATACGTGCACACATACACACACATATACGTACACACACACATATACGTACACACACAAGTACATACGTACACACACATACCAATTTTCGCCACTAAGTGATGGTGACGACACCACGGCGCCTGTGCCAGGCCACGTGCACTTTGGGGCCACTTGAAGTGTCGAAGGCTCGCTGACAGGAGGTCTCTGGACAGACCCAGCAGGTGCCATGGGTTGACTGAGATGAGTGGCCGATGCACTACCTGTGCCCCCTACCGTGCCAACTTGCTGCGTTTTAGCCACCCGGTGTTCCGCTCGATGTTGTTGGAGGGCGACTGCCTCCAACTGCCCAGTAGCAGCAGCAGCGTCCTTCACGAGCCTCCTCCACAGAGGCTGATCTTGACACCGCTGGTACCGGTCATCGGCAAGTCCACTCAGCTCCACGTCCTCCTGTACCACATCACTCCATCTCTTCTCTAGCCCGTGCCGCGCCCGTTTAGCCCCCTCGATCCGGCCGAACAAAAGTTTAACACGTGGGCTTTCGTGATCAATATCATCCATAATAGAGGTCTAACCCAAAAAAACCTCTATTATGGACGAACAAAAGCTGTTTCGGCATGCGGTGGCTGGGCATGCGGGCTACATGACCCAGCCAACGCAGCCTTGCCTGCCGGAGGAGCTCACCACTCCCCGGACACGGCCAATTTAGTAAGATTGCGTCACGTAAACAACACGTGGCCATTTCGTTACCCGTTCAACACGGAGGTTTTCGCAACCAATATCCATAACAGAGGGGGGGGGGGTTTAGGTCAGATCGCATAAATGTGTGTCGTTAAACCCGCCGCCACCCCACCAGAGCCAGCAAGGTTGTGTCACGTAAACAACACGTGGACAAATTTTGATTCGTATTGTTTTATATATATTTTATTATTTTATTGTTTCCCTTCAACGTGACTTTACCGAAAGAGCTAAGAATATGAACACGTGGACAATTCGTTACCAGTTCAGCACTAACCGGGTCGGGTGTTGGAGACGAAGACCCACTACGCACATTTTCCATTCGAGAATCTGGTGAGGTTTTGGACGAGGCTGCCGCCTGATGATGCTGGTTGTTGTAATTTCCGGCGAAACCTCACGCGGTACTCGAATTTATAAACGCCGTGGGTTTTTTACCAAGGCCGTAGACATGGAGTCAACATTGGGGGGGAGGGGCAAATCTTCCAGGGGGTCCCCCCCCCCAGAAAAAAAATCTAAATTTAAAAACGAATTTCCTGCCTAAAATATAAAAAAAATTACTAACGTATGCGATGTACTTTTAATGTATTTTTTTTTACAATAATGTCTAACAGTGTATTGTATTACATTGCTCTGTTTTTTTAATTTTTTTACCTTTTCTTATTTCATTGTATTTAATGGCAGAGATTAGGGATTAATAATGTACAACCATAACCACACTGAGAAAAACAGAAATCTATGCATTGATTTATATGAAGACAAGTCAGGATGGTGTGGACAAGGTTGAGCAAATTGTTGTTTTTATTTACATAGCATAGCAATAAAAACATATATTGTTTATAGCAATATATTGGGGGGGTAGGGTATTTTGACCATATTTGAATATTTGGGGGGGATGATGTGTGCCCCCCAATGTATATTATAATTACGGCCTTGGTTTTTACTCTTCAAAAACACACACAGTCGGTTAGCGCTGAACTAATTCAACAATTGGGCACGTTTTGTTGACGTGACAACCTTACGCTAAGGAGCCGACCATAAATGACGTCACGCACCTAGGGGGGAGGGAGGTCAGACATTTGTGACGTTGTGTGACAAGGGGGGGGGGGGGTTTGAGAAACGTGACGTCACATCAAAATGCGCAACTTTATAAATAAATATAGACAACACGTTCTACTTAATTAAATTGACTACTTTTAATAAATGTTTTCTCCCTCAACATCAGAGCGCAGCGCCACATTAAATACGCACTACAATGACAATAGTTTAAAGCGATTGAAGCATGTTTTATGGGGTTTTGGGGGGGGGCAGAGCTTTGTGACGTCATATTTGAGGGGGGGGGGTCTGACTTTCTGTGATGCCGTGTGACGAAGGGGAGGGGTCAAAAATCGTCCAAAATCGCGTGTCGGGTGGTGGTGATGATGGGTTTAACGACACAATATTTATTTTTACGCAATCTGACCCCCCCAAAAAACTATTACGGATATACAGTATTCGTTTAACCCATAAAGCACTGTGATAAATGCATACTTGTCAAGCCCATATCAGTGCCCCTAGCTTATTACAGACCAACTCAGACCTTATTAGTCACCCCATGCCCGTAGTAAATCTCAACGTTCATCCCACAAAGTCCCATCGTAAGGTAGAAACACAAACAAATAGACACTCACCACTAGTACACTCACCACTAGTACACTCACCACTACACTCGCCACTAGTACACTCATCACTAGTACACTCGCCACTAGTACACTCATCACTAGTACACTCACCACTACACTCACCACTAGTACACTCACCACTAGTACAGTCGCCACTAGTACACTCACCACTAGTACACTCACCACTACACTCACCACTACTACACTCACCACTAGTACCCTCACCACTAGTACACTCACCACTAGTACACTCACCACTACACTCACCACTACACTCACCACTTGTACACTCACCACTAGTACACTCACCACTTGTACACTCACCACTACACTCACCACTAGCACACTCATCACTAGTACACTCACCACTAGTACACACACCACTACACTCACCACAGGTACACTCACCACTACACCTACCACTAGTACACTCACCACTACACTCACCACTACACTCACCACTAGTACACTCACAACTAGTACACTCATCACTACACTCACCACTAGTACACTCACCACTAGTACACTCACCACTACACCTACCACTAGTAGACTCACCACTAGTATACTCACCACTACACTCACCACTAGTACACTCACCACTACTACACTCACTAGTAGTACACTCACCACTAGTACACTCATCACTACACTCACCACTTGTACACTCACCACTAGTACACTCACCACTACACTCACCACTAGTACACTCACCACTAGTACACTCATCACTACACTCACCACTAGTACACTCACCACTACACTCACCACTAGTACACTCACCACTAGTACACTCACCACTAGTACACTCACCACTACACTCACCACTAGTACACTCACCACTACACTCACCACTACACTCACTACTAGTACACTCACCACTACACTCACCACTACACTCACCACTAGTACACTCACCACTAGTACACTCATCACTACACTCACCACTACACTCACTACTAGTACACTCACCACTACACTGACCACTACACTCACTACTAGTACACTCACCACTAGTACACTCACTACTAGTACACTCACCACTACACTCACCACTAGTACACTCACCACTAGTACACTCACCACTACACTCACCACTACAAACCTGCCAACCCCAGTGCCCTACCCTATTACAGACCAACTCAGACCCTATTGCTCACCCCGTGGCCCTTATACATCTCAACGTTCATCCTACAAAGTCCCATCGCAAGGTAGAAACGGGCCGTCCATAAATGACGTCACGCGATTTTTGACGATTTTTGACCCCCCCCCTCGTCACACGACCCTTTAAATATGACGTCACAAAGCTCTGCCCCCCCCCCCCAAAATAAAACATGCTTCAAATTGCTTTAAACTATTGTCATTGTAGTGCGTATTTAATGTGGCGCTGCACTCTGATGTTGTAGGAGAAAACATTTATTAAAAAGTATATTTAATTAAGTGGAACGTGTTGTCTGTATTTATTTATAAAGTTGCGCATTTTGATGTGACGTCACATTTCTCAAACTCCCCCCCTCCCCCCCTCGTCACAAATTTCTGACCCCCTCCCCCGCACCCCTAGGTGCGTGACGTCATTTATGTACGGCCCCAAACACAAAGAAATAGACAATTCATCTTTTTTTGTGCCCACTATTGAAACGGCTGTACGTCGTATGCGCCCGAAAAACTCAATTCCCCGCGCACAAGACGAATACTGGGTAGGCAGTACGCTTTGTCAACGGATTATTTATGTTGAAACTTCTTTCGCACCGTACACTGGCGTTTCCCCACCCCTGAGTCTAAAAGAAAGCTGTCTCTGGTGTGGACCAATCAGTTTCAAAGACAATGCATCATACTGTCAGAGCGTGTTTTGTGTTTGTATTTTCACCACAAGTGTTGTGTGGTCAATGGAGGCATTATTCCTTGCAAAAGGTTTCAGTTCGGTGTTTTAACATCTTAACGCAGCTGTATTGCTGTCAGAAAAAAAAGGGGGCAAACTCTATTCTTAGACGAGCAGGAGCTTGAGGAGCAGGAGGAGCAGGAGTGGGATCATGAAGAACAATGGCAGGAGGAAGAGAAGTCGGAACGGGAGGAGGAGGAACATTGGCAGGAGGAGGAGTCTAATTTGGAGGCGGAGCATCGACAGGAAAAGGAGGAATCGAGACGGGCAAAGGGAGGAGTCAGGGGCGGAGTCTTGATCGGGAGGTGGGAAGGCGGGGCACGGGCAGAAAGGAGGAGGAGTCTAATTCTGAGGCGGAGCATAGACAGGAAAAGGAGGCGTCGAGACGGGCAAAGGGAGGAGTCAGGGGCGGAGTCTTGATCGGGAGGTGGGAAGGCGGGGCACGGGCAGAAAGGAGGAGGAGTCTAATTCTGAGGCGGAGCATAGACAGGAAGAGGAGGCGTCGAGACGGGCAAAGGGAGGAGTCAGGGGCGGAGTCTTGATCGCTAGGGTAGGAGGCGGGGCACGGGCAGGAGGAGGAGGAGTCATCTTCATCGCGGTCCGAGGCAGCAGCAGCAGCACGCAAGCAGCGCGACTCGGCGGCGGACAGCAGCAGCAGCAGGATGTCGGGGCCCGCGGCGAAGGTGGCGAAGAAGGAGGCCAACTCGAATCACGACGGCGCGGACGAGGCGTCGGGTAAGGTTTGCGTGAGGCGGCGTGAGGCGGCGGCGCGTGAGGCGGAGGAGGAGGGGTGTGAGAGAAAAGCAGCGTGAGGAGGGCAGAGCGGCGCCATCTCGAGGAGGCCGCGGGGGGGCGGGGGTGGCGAGGGGGGAGGGGGGGTTGGGTGTGGGGGCCGCGCGCGCTTTTTTTTGTTTCCCGCCAATGGTCGCGCGCGCGCTCCCGTCACGTGGGGTCGCGCGCCCCAATGGGCGCGAGCGCGCGCATGCGCGGTGCGGCGCAAGCGGGCGCGCGCGCTCGGCCATGTTTGTTAGGCCCCCACCCCCTCCCCCCCTCGTCTTCGTTGTGGCCTCACGAGCCGAGGCCTCTCTGCACGAGTGGGGGGGGGGGACCCCCCACCACCACCAACCCCACCTTCTTGTGTAGCTGCTTCCCTGATCGAACCCTCGCTAGTGGCTGTGACCGCCGCCATCGCCACCCGCACAGACTTCAGACACCGCGGTTCTATGAATGCGCATCCCACGCGGCCATGTGCGTCTCATCCTGCCTCCATCCTTTGCTGGGGGGGGGGGGGTCCCGCGCTCCCCTCCCCTCGATAGGGGGGGGGGGGTGGTAGGGTGGGGGCACAGATTAAATGATACCCCCCCCGCGCCCCCACAGGCATTACGAGAGTCCGGTTCGCTTTGACCGGGAAACTCGCGAGGAGGCGGCGGTGGCATGCGGCCATTGTGGCCTGCGACGCCGCACGTGGTTTCCTCTGTGGGCAGAATGAATGAGCGGCAAGAACGGCCACGGCCTCCCCCCCCCCACCTTAGCCTCCCCCCCACCTTAGCCCCCCCCCCACCACCTTAGCACCCCCCACCACCTTAGCCTCCCCCCCCCCCACCACCTTAGCCTCCCCCCCCCCCCCACCACCTTAGCCTCCCCCCCCCACCACCTTAGCCTCCCCCCCCCCCACCACCTTAGCCTCCCCCCCCCCACCACCTTAGCCTCCCCCCCACCACCTTAGCCTCCCCCCCCACCACCTTAGCCTCCCCCCCCCACCACCTTACCCTCCCCACCACCTTACCCTCCCCCCACCATCACCTTACCCTCCCACCACCTTACCCTCCCCCCACCATCACCTTACCCTCCCCACCACCACCTTACCCCCCCCCACCACCACCTTACCCCCACCACCTTACCCCCCACCACCTTACCCCCCACCACCTTACCCTCCCCCCACCATCACCTTACCCTCCTCTTCCCCCCCCCCCGCGTATACTGTATCGCGAATCCTTTCATGAGCACGGTCGGCTACGTGCGGTGCAAAAGAAGTTCAATCTCCACCGCTGATGTAACAGAACACGTGCTGTAGTGGAGGGCTGAGGGCATGCGGTTCGAGTGGCGAATCGTGACGGGGGGGGACACACACCCCCCCCCCCACCAGGATATGTCCCCCCACTGGTGACGGCCGCGTAGTTACTGAGCGCCGGTCCGTTCCCATGGTCCGTGGGGGGGGGGGCAGACCCACGGGGGGGGGGGGCTACCGGATCCACGGCGGGGGGGGGGGGCTACCGGACCCCGTGTGTGTCCTCCCCCCCCCCCCCAGTGTCTCGTGTGGAGCTGCGGCGGGACTCGAGAGAGCGGCCTGTAGGTTGCCGAGGGGGGGGGGACGTGATGGCCACGTGGAGGATGGCGGGGGGGGGGGAAATCTGTGAGGAGGAGGGGGGGTGGATGCGTGAGGAGGATGAGTGAGGATGAGTGAGGAGTGGTGAGGATGAGGAGGCCGCGGCTTTCCACGTGTGGCTGTGAGCCCCCACGTGGCCACACGCGGCGCTTCCGCGTGGCGCTCATTGTCTCGCGCGCTCGCTCTCTCTCTCCCGCTCCCTCTCAACTCTCGTCTCGCTCTCTTCCATCGCTCTCCCTCTCAACTCTCGTCTCGCGCTCTCTCAACTCTCGTCTCGCTCTCTTCCATCGCTCTCCCGCTCTCTCTCAACTCTCGTCTCGCGCTCTCTCAACTCTCGTCTCGCGCTCTTCCATCGCTCTCTCAACTCTCGTCTCGCGCTCTCTCAACTCTCGTCTCGCGCTCTTCCATCGCTCTCCCGCTCCCTCTCAACTCTCGTCTCGCTCTCTCACTTCCCTCCCGTCTCCCGCTCTCTCTCAACTCTGTCTCTTACCTCACTCTCCCGTTTGCCCCTCCCCCACTTTGTTCGCTATCATTCACCCCCCCCGCACCTCCGATTAGCACGGTCGGCTACGTACGGCGCGAAATAAGTTCAACACACATACACTACTTTACACACTAATATGCACTTACACTACTACACACGACACTACAATACACTACTACACACGAAACCACAATACTCTACTACACACAACACTACAATACACCACTACACACGACACTACAATACACTATTACACACAACACTACAATACACCACTACACACAACACTACAATACACCACTACACAACACTACAATACACCACTACACACAACACTACAATACACTACTACACACAACACTACAATACACTACTACACACGACACTACAATACACTACTACACACAACACTACAATACACTACTTCACACAACACTACAATACACTACTACACACAACACTACAATACACTACTACACACAACACTACAATACTCTACTACACACAACACTACAATACTCTACTACACACAACACTACAATACTCTACTACACACAACACTACAATACACTACTACACACAACACTACAATACACTACTACACACAACACTACAATACAACACTACAATACACTACTACACACGACACTACAATACACTACTACACACAACACTACAATACACCACTACACACAACACTACAATACACTACTACACACTACAATACACTACTACACACAACACTACAATACACTACTACACACAACACTACAATACACTACTACACACAACACTACAATACACTACTACACACAACACCAATACACTACTACACACAACACTACAATACACTACTACACACAACACTACAATACACTACTACACACAACACTACAATACACTACTACACACAACACTACAATACACTACTACACACGACACTACAATACACTACTACACACGACACTACAATACACTACTACACGCAACACTACAATACACTACTACACGCAACACTACAATACACTACTACACACAACACTACAATACACTACTACACACAACACTACAATACACTACTACACACGACACTACAATACACTACTACACACAACACTACAATACACTACTACACACAACACTACAATACAATACTACACACGACACTACAATACAATACTACACACGACACTACAATACACTACTACACACAACACTACAATACACTACTACACACAACACTACAATACTCTACTTCACACAACACTACAATACACTACTACACACAACACTACAATACACTACTACACACGACACTACAATACACTACTACACACGACACTACAATACTCTACTAGACACGACACGACTATACTACATTGGGAACTCATTTCTTTAGAACTACCGTTTGCGTAATTACTTTATTGTACTTCTTCCCACACCTCTGATTAGCACGGTTGGCTACGTACGGTGCGAAAGAAGTTTACCATACATGCACTACTACAGTATAAGCTGTACGCTACACTATACACTAGACCACTACACCACACCACTGTATTAAATCGAAAAGATTTTCTTTAGAACTACTTGCTGTTTGTGTGTTATTTTGTTCTTAAACCCGCACCTCCGATTAGCGTGGTTGACTACGTACGGTGCGAAAGAAGTTCATGCATACATACACATACATAGAGACCCACAGACTCGCATAGATTGAAAACTAATTTCTTTAGAACTGCTCTTTGTGTGTTAGTTTGTTGCCCTTCCACCCGCACCTCCGATTTACCGCGGTTGGCTACGTGCGGTACGAAAGAAGTTCAAACATACTACGCTTTACACTCCCATATGCTACACGGTACACCACAATACACGCCACTATATATACTTACACCACTATACACTCTACTATATACTACACCACTATACTAACTCGAAAACGCATTTCTTTTGAACGGCTTGTTTTTGTTATTGCATGTTAGCTTGTTTTCCCCACTGCTTCTCCGATTAGCGCAGTTGGCTACTTACGGTGCGGTAGACGTTCACGCGTACCAAGGCCGTAATAATAATAATATATATTGGGGGGGACACACATCCCCTCCCCCCAATATTCAAATATGCTCAAAATGTCCCCCCCCCCCAATATATTGCTATAAAATAAATATTTTAGGAAGGAAATTCGTTTTCAAATTTAGATATATATTTTTTCTGGGGGGGACCCCCAGGAAGATTTGGTCCCCCCCAATGTTGACTCCATGGCTACGGCCTTGACGCATACTGTACATGCATCCCGTCTCGATGTGTTCCGCACGTCTCTCTCCCTTGGTCTCGCTCTCTCCACCACTCCACCGACAAATCTCTCCAATTCCTCTCCCCGTCCTCCCACTCCTTCCTTTTACATCTCTGATTGATTGATTGATCTCGCGCCAAACTTTTTCTGCCCTCTCTTAACCCCACCTCCTTCACTCTCTCACTTTCTCTCCCCATATCTCCCCTCCACATCCTCGGGGCACCACGGTGGCTAGGAGATGTTAACTACCTCGCCTGGAATGCAGGAGGTTCGTGGGTTCGATCCCGACCTTGACAATGCCTGCTGTTGTATATTTGGAGTTTGCAAGTTCTCCCCGTGGTCGAGTGGGTTTTTCCCTCCGCGTTTAGTAACATGCGTTTTTAGCGTATTTTGCTGCGATAATGTCCACGTGGTGATGTTGAGCCACTTCGTTGAGCTGTCATTTGTGATAGCTGAGTCGCTTCTGAAAAGAGCTACTCCTAAAGCTCAGTGGGGTCTTACCTGCTAAAATAAAACATTTTAAAATCGTTTCACACGATTACTGCTCATTCCCGCTATTATCTCTGGCTGCTATAACTTCTCACGTGGTGGTGATAAGCCGCTTCGTTGCACTGCTATCGTTTCATGGCCAGGTCGTTTCTGAAAATAAAAAAGTAGCTCATAGCTCGGTGGGCTTTGACCTGCCTGATATTAAAATAAATAGTTGCGTTTTATTTTACTTTTTCTATATACTTTGCATTCCTATCCGGTTTTTTTTGTCTGTTATGTTCTTACCGTGTGCCTCCCCTCCTCCCTACTGGACATCTGTGATAAAGAGCTTTTGTAGCTCATCGGATTTCTCCTGTAATAAATAAATATTCTGATTCTCTTCAATGACCTCTGTCACTTTCTCCCATCTCCCCCCCCCACTGTTCTCTCATCTCTCACCCTTCTCTACTCCACTACCCCATTCCTCTTCATTCTCATCATATCCCCCTGGCTTACTCTCATCTCACTTTCATCTCCCATCTCTCCCCGCTTAAACTCTTTCTTACCCTCTCCCTCGTTCTTGTCCCTCCCCCTTCTCTCCACCCTCTCGGTGGCTCGGCGATGTTAACGACCTCGCCTGGTATGCAGGAGGTCGTGAGTTCAATCCCGACCCTGACGATGCCCGTTGTATATTTGGCGTTTGCGCGTCTCCCTCCCTCCCTCCCCCCCATGGTCGCGTGGATTTTTCTCCGGGTCCTCCGGTTCTTCACATTTAGAATCTGATGTGCATTCAGAGTATTTGACTGCTATACATTTCCACGTGACGATGATGATAAGCCACTTGCGTTGAGCTGGCTACCATTTGTGGACAGCCAGGTTCGCCTTATCACCTGGCAAAATTTTTTGTTATTTTAGTTTAAAGGATAACTTATAGGAGTTAAAAGTAAAAACGAACTGGAGAGTGCACCTAGGCTGGCACAGCAGTCAACCCTTTGGCACCTTGGGTCTGTCCCGTGACCTCCTCCTTACACGTAGCCTGGCACAGCAGTCAACCCATTGTACCTGCTGGGTCTGTCCAGTGACCTCCTCCTGCACATAGCCTGCCACAATAGTCAACCCATGGCACCTGCTGGGTCTGTCCCCGTGACTTCCTGCACCAAGCCTAGCACAGCAGTCAACCCGTGGTAAAATACAAAATAGTTTTAAAAAAAAAATGTTGTTTAATGGTCTCTTGCCTCTCCCCTCTCTCCCCCGTCTGGCCGTGCGTGTTCGCGTGAGCAGAGAAGGAGCAGCAGGAAGCCATCGAGCAGATAGACGAGGTGCAGAATGAGATCGACAGGTGAGTCGGGGTTTGCGCAGAGCTCTCGGGTGGTTGGGCCCCCCCACCCTCCCCCCCGTGCGAGGGGGGTGGGAGGGTGGGGGTGGTCCTCTGTAAAGAAGAGAAGAACCTCTTCCCCCCCCCTCCCCCTCTCGTCTCGGGTCTCCCCAAGGTTGATGAGTGGCCAATGATAAAGTTGGTTTACATGTGCGTGAGAGTGCGCGCGCGCACGCGAGTGGTCTGAGTGTTAGTGCGTTAGTGGTGTGTGCGTGGGTGTACGCGTGTCCGTGCGCGTACGTTTGTGTTGCGTGCGTGTACGTGTGTGTGTGTGCGCGTTGTCCGTGTGCGTGCTTGTGGGGGGGGGGGGGGAGGCGGTAGTAGTGTGGCGGTTCGCGCCCACCGCGCTATGAACCCGGCCATGACCCGAGTTCGTTTCCCGCTCGCGGCCACCGCAACACCAGCGATAGCGGTTATCTGAACCGGTGCTGGGCCCTCCCCTAGGTCGACTTAGCCTCGGAAGAGTACCCGGTGCCGTGTTTACAAATCGGCACTGGGAAAGACGAAAGGCGGCCGGGCGTGGTGGACCGGCCACACACACCACCTCCTCGTGTGCTACAGCGCCGGCCTACATCGGTGCTGCTGCTCGCTACTAACAGAAACCTGCCCCAACAGTCTGTTAAAGGTCACATGGTGTTGGGGGGGGGGGATGGAGAAACGTTGCCTTTGGTGTAGTTTACTATGCCCAGGCTGCTGGCCCACATAGATTTCACGAACCAGGGCCCCCCCTAAAGCAGGGGTCGGCAAACCAAAATGATCAAAGAGATGGTGACGGGGAGGACGCCCGCGAATATTTCAAAAATTGCGGATTATCACAGCAGCGCTCCGATCGACTCTCTGAACAAAGTACGATTTTAAAAAAAGTTGCGTGAAAATCGGACATCGATAGCGTTTTGTATTATATGTGAACCGCAAGATGTATAATCTATATAAATGAAGACCTTCATCTGTACATCTCAAACACCTTACTTCAGGGTGCTTGCAGACAAGGTAGAAAGCTGACATTTGGTACACAGGTAACTTTTAGGACACAAACAACAGGAAGAGAGAGATCTCAAAATCTGAGCTTTTTCATTTTAAGGCCCCCAAATCTCGGATGTTTAAGTGCCCCGTGAACACGTTTGTGCCTGGTGTCATTCGCAAACCGTTCAACATATATAAGATTGCGAGTTTTTTCCTTTGACGGAGCGTTAGACGGCAAATAAAATTAAAGCGAAAACCACTGTTGTATCTTTTATTGTGTTTAAGATGTTTCGGATTCAAGTGGTTTTGAATGGAAAAAAATTTGCATCTTATGATATTTGCGTCTGAATAATTATAAAACTGTAAAAGAAAGGAGAGCTTCCCCTAATAAGAGTATTACATTCGTTCATTTCTGTTCTTTCCAACAAAAGAACAATCTTAAAATTGAGCAGTTTCCGATTGGTGTGCGTCTTTAAATAAGAAGTTGAATCGAATCGTCAACAATTTTTGTGTTTTTTTTAAAGAAAAATACCAAATGTTTTGAGTGTCTGTTCACAGACACAAATCGGAAACAATCTTTATCAGGTTAATTATTATATTTATTGAAACCTTTTGCCTGGCGAGGACAGCCCTTTACGAACTAATATAGGTATAAATTATGTTTTGAAGACGATTGAGAGCGAATAATTAACGATCGACCGATAGATGCGTGATAATAATAACAAAACTTTCTTGGCTCCCGCCCAGCAGAAAACGCGGCCCACCGAGTGGACGACTGCAGAGCCTCGCCAATTAACATCAATCAAACTCCGTCGCCCACCGTTGTAAATATATGGCAACTACTGTACTGTAGAGCGCGATCGCGTGGATTTGGCATTAACCGGAGCGTCATTTAATCATATTTCACATGTATAATGAGCAGTCCATCCTTTACCGAAAGACCCATAGAACATATAAGATCCCATAGATGCGTAGGCTTTTCGTGACCGATATTATTCATAATAAAGTGGGGGGGGTTTTTTTGGGTTGGATCGTGTGAGTATAAATGCGTCATTAAACCCGCCACCGCCCTACAAAGCTTTGTCACGTGAACAAAACATGCTAGTTCGTTGCTAGTACAGCAGCAAACGGTTGTGTGTAGCAGAGTAAACCCACAACATTTACAACGTTACACGACAACAAGCTGTACGTTATCTAAGTTTGTGGGTTAGGTCGTGCGAGTATAAACGCGTCGTTGAATCCGCCACCAACCCCGATGCATTTTCTCCTTGGAACCGATTGGCCGTACACCAGAGGGGCAGCTTTCTTCATGGCCTTGTCTCACCAGTGTTAGACCAGAGAACGACGCGATAAGACGAACGATGCAAGGACGATGCAAACCTGCCTTTTGTAATGACCTATGGGATTGTCTCTTGGAAATTGATTGGCCTGCACCAGAGGGGACGGCCTTCTCTGGGGGCTTGTCTCTGCGCCAGTGTTTGACTAGAGAACGGCGCCAAAAGGCGAACTCCCCCCCCACCCCCCCGCATCCCCAGCTCTCTCGGCCTCCCATTTCCAGCCCCACGCAATTCCCACCTCTCCTAGCGTCCACGCATCGCTCTCCTCCCCTTACCCCACAGCCCTCCCCCCCTCTCTCTCTCGCCCCCCCCCCCCCCCCGCTTGCCCCTCCCCCCCTTTCTTACCTATATAACGTCTTACCACGGCATCTCTCCCCCACTTCAGCAACATTCAATTTTTTACTGCTGTGGTTTTCCCACCTGATGATGATTGCGTGTGTTGCAATCGAAACGTCGTGATTTATTGTATACCTACGTGGCTTTACCGAAAGAACCAAAGAGTATGAATGCGAACGTGCTTTGATAATGGACCTTTGGGATTGTCGCTTCGAAACTGATTGGCCTGCACCAGAGGGACAGCCTTCTCTGGGGCCTTGTTTGTTGTTGTTGTAATTAAACGGCAAGAACATCACAGCCGGTTCGAATTGTAAATGTGTGTAGTGAAGTTTAACTCTCCAACAAAGACAAAGATCACCCCCCCCCATGTAGCCTTTAACAGACTTGGGGCAATTGCTATGAAGGCCGGCACGGCACACAAGGGGGCGGGTGGCCAGCACCACGCCCGGCTGCCTTTGTCTCCCTTGTGGCGATATTTGCACACTGC